TCTCTCTCTCTCTCTCTGTGTGTGTATGTGTATTTTTGACAGGGTCTCCCTAGTTTCAGCCCACACAGAGCTTACTATATAGACCAGCCTGGCATTGATCTCAGAGATCTGCCTGCCTCTGCCTCCCAAGGGCTGGGATTAAAGGTGTATGTCATCATGCCCAGCTATATAATGTATTTTGATCCTGTTTAGATCCTCTCCCCATCTACACTCCACTTATTAACCTATAGAGTCAAATTTGTGTCCCTAAATGCCCTTTGGTGTGGGTTCACCCACTGGAGCCTGGTCAACCTTCCAAGAGCCTCACTTTAAACAGCACTGACTCCCTTCTTCCAAGGTATGCTGCCCTGGGTGGGTTGCCCGTGTTCCAGTGGATGGCCCTACATTCATGGACAGCCCACAGCATCAACTGGACTCAAGTGGTTACAAAGAGTATTGGTGGTAATACTTCTTCAGGTAGGGTTGGGGTTTTCTACTTCCTCACGTCTGTGCTGGGATTTTGACTGGCTTGAGCTTACATGGGATTTGTGCATGCTGTCACTATTGCTGAGTTCATATGAGTAATTGCTCAGCTGTCTGGAGAACTGTTTCTTTTTGGTGACCCACCATCTCTGGCTCTTACAATATTTCTGCCTCCTCTTCCACAATGATCTCTGAACCTTAGGATGCAGAGTTTTCTGTTGGTGTCATATTCAGGGTTAACCCTCTGAAGCCTTTTATTCTCTGCATGTTGGCTAGTTGTGGGTTTCTGTGTTAATTACTATCTGCTGCATTAGGAAGCTTCTCTGGTGACTTCAAAGACTCATCTATATTGGATAGCTTTCATAGTGCTGGAAGGTGCTGTGTATCATCAAATTTACCTAGCTGTGAATCCTGAGAGCTACAAAAACAACTGACAATATATGCCCACCGGTGCACTAGTGGCACAAATATTATGGGAGCAACCAGCCACTTCCTAATTGGATTTAAGATCTGCTTCATAAGATGGGGCCCATTTCTGACATGAGATCAGGCCTAGGAACCTAAGGCTAGAAGGTCATAGGCTATAAAGGAGAGCCAAAAACTATTAATCTGCAAAATATAGTATTAAATTGACTCCTAATGACTTAAATTGCTATATCCACAGATTATTCTAATTAAAGAAAATTACTCAGCTAGTTAAAATTCCAATATGGATAGGGGAGGGGCCCATGAAGCCTCATCCCTAACTAAGTAGATATTGGCAATTAATGGACATTGGGGGAGGGGGCATTCCTTTTTTGTGGGGGATATTGCCCTGGGTGGGTTGCCTGTGTTCCAGTAGATGGCCCTACATCCATGAACATACCTGCAGCACCAACTGGACTTAAGTGATTACAAAAAAGAGTAAGACAGAGGCAGGTGGATATCTTTAAGCTTGAGGCTTGCTTGGTTTACGTATTGAGCTCCAGGCCAGCCAGGGCTACATAGTGAGACCTAGTCTCAAAAAATAAGAGTTGATGAAGTTTGGAGAAGTTATGGGGAGGTCTAGGAGGAGTTAGAAGGGAGGAAATAGATATGATCAAAACACATTGTATACATGTATGAAATTCTTAAATAATATATAAAATATATTTTAAAATTTTATTAAATTTATAATACATAAACATACACAAAGCTTGTAGGAACAAATTTTCTTACATTTTTATCTTTTGTCATATATGTGTAAATCATGCACTACTTATATTTGTCTATATTTGTCCTTTTCATGAGTAGGCTCATCTTCTTTCAGAAGGACAGTGTAGTAATTTCACACTGTCCTTCTTACTATCATTATTAGGGCATTAAAAATGTCAGAATTTGGTAGAAAAAATATTGCCGAAGAGACGCTACATTCATGAGTTGTAGAACAAACGAGGAGAACTCAATCTGCTACTGACCTCAAAGCTTCGTTTCTACTGGCTAGCTTTTGTAGTGCTGGAAGAATGCATGCTAATGGAAGAAAAAAAGGATCACCAACATTGGCCAGTTGTGAACCTGCCAGCTCTTGACCTGGCAAGATATGCCCGCTGGTGCAAAAGTAGCATGAATGTTATGGGACTAACCAACCACTTTCTGATTGGATTTAAGGTCTGTTTCACAAGATGGAGCCCATACCTGGCACTGTTATTAGGGCCAAGAACCTGTGGCTAGACAGGTCACAGGCCAAAGAGGAGAACCTACCACTTTTTTTCTGCTAGATAGATGTAGTATTAAACTAACGCCTAATGATTATTGTTATACCCATAGATTAGTGCATCTCTCAACTCTTACTAGAAAAGTTTCTTACAACAGATGACGATTAACACAGAGATCCACAGGTGGTCAATGTGCAGAGAATAAGAGACTGCAAAGTGCCCAGTCCTGAATGGTCACCTTTATCAACCCTCTCCTCTCAAAGCTAAGGAAACATTATGGAGGAAAGACTGTACAAGCCAAAGGTGGTAAATGAACACAAGGAAGTCCTGTTTTTTGGACACAATAGGGCAGTTACACATATGAGCCCACAGTACTTGTGACAATATGCAGAAGACCCGTGTAAGGCCAAGACCTGTGTAAGACCTGTGTAAGCCCAAGCCAGACAAAAATGCAGCATGAATATGGGATGTGGGCAAGAAACCTTAACCCTAGCTTGGGATCTATTAGCAATCGGTAACTGCTGGGAGAGGAGGAGTCAGTTTTCTTTAAGGTGTGATGCCTGGTAGGATGACCAGACTCCAAGGGAGGATCCACATCCAATAGATTTGGGGAACACAAATTAGACTCAATAGGCCTTAAAAAAAGAAAAATAATAATAGAGGACATGAAGTCAGGGGTGGTAAGGTGGAGATGGAGATGGGGGAGGGTGTCTGAATATGATCAAAATACATTGTGTGAAATTCTCCAAGAATCAATAAAATATTTTTTAAAAAGTTTCAAAGTCATAATGTTTCTCATTTTATAAAAGAATATTTTATATATATAATCCATTATGTACCACCAATAGTTTCTGTGGTGGTGCCCTGCCACAAAACACATTAATGTTTTGGCAAGTGAATGTTCAAATCAAGTGGAATGAGTAACTGTATATCAATCCTTGTTGGGTTTGAAACTTAATGAAATGTCTTCTAGTGATTTTTGGATTGCAGGATTGCAGCTAGGCTTGTGTGCTTACATTCCTATGCATCCACTTTGCTGTTGATGATCATTTGAGTTTGTTGTCAGATTTTTTTCCATTATTTTCAAAGTCACTATCTCAATTTGAGCTCCTGATCTCATAAAAATACCTAAATGCCAGTTGAATAGTTGTGTGTTGGCTTCTCCCTTGTGTATTTCTTCTTTCAAGTCTTGAATGTGAGCTGGAGATACATTTTGAGACCACTGTCTTCTAAAGAGAAAATACCCACAATAAGTATAATTTTCCTTTTGTGTCTGCTACTGCTACTTCAGTGGTAGTGCGAGATTTATTATTTCACTAGAAATGGCCAGGAAACTGGCATTTTATTTACTATTACTCTTATATGAGGCTGGTGTTATTTTTAATAAGTGAGAGAGAAAAACCAGAAGAAGTCAGAACGAACATATTTTCCTCATGATTTGCTTATGTTATAAACATCCTCCACCGTCTCCTGATGCTCCTGTTAAAGTTGCTGTACATTGTACACCAAGGAGTAGAATTGCTCACTATGTCAGTGATTGGTTTATTGAGTTCTTCTGAGAAGCAGATGTTAAGATGGGACAATATAATGGAAATAAAAAAACACATCAGATAGTTGCTAAGAGCTCTTGCAGTGTGATGGTAATTAAGAACTTTGAAGCAGAGAAAGCCCCAGTGTAAGAAATAGAAATGGGGGAGGTGAATAGGAATCTTCCCCTGTCCCCTGTGGTTACCCAGGGTAGAAGTCTTTGTTTCCCAAAGCTGCCACATTCCTTTAACTTTTGTGGCCACATGTTGCATGTAAATTGCCACCTATGTGTTATTTACCTTTTGTTTGCATTCCTCACATATAAGTGCCCCCAAAATTTGAACAAAGGGCTGACTCCTTTATGAATGGTCCATGTGTCAGTCCCCCCAGAAGAAAATTATTAAACTCCCTCTCCTCACCTGACTCTGGCTGTTGGTATCTGATTTTTTTCTGTAACATTTTGATGTGCACACATGCGTGTGTGCATGTGTGTGAGAGAAAGAGAGAGAGCGACAGAGAGACAGAAAGACAGAGAGAGAGAGAGAGAGAGAGAGAGAGAGAGCGATTAGGGAGATTATGAGAGTTTGCCTCACACAATCATGGTTACAGAACAGTTCTTTTTCTAAAATGGCCTTCCTGCTGTCAGTCGGGTCCTTCACAACTTTGAGACCTAGAAGAGCCAGTATTGTAGTCTAACCCTAAAGGCCAGAGAACAAAAGGAGTTAGTGATGTGAGTCCCAGTCTGAGTATGAAAGATTTGAGAATTGAGAGTATTATGTCCAAGGGCAGAAGATGGATGTCTTTGCTTAAGAAAAGGCTGCATTGATCTTTTCTCTGCTGTTCTGCTCTGTAGAACCTCAGTGGATCAGATGGTACACACACAGATGAGGGCCAAGTTCTTTATTTACTCTACAGACTCAGATAAATTTTTCTATAAGTAATCTTAGAAATACACTCAGAAATAGTGTTTTACCAGCTATCTGGTCATCCCTTACCACAGCCACATTTATACACAAAAACGAACCACCACAATATGTAAGAGATTTATTGGGCAGGAAGAAATTCTTCAGACTCAATTTGAGGCTTGTGGAAGAAAATAAGGAAAGAAGGAGGGCTCAGGTAGGAAAAGAATCTTGTACCGCTACAAAGACTGATGAGGGACCCTAGACTCTAAGTTGTCTTTCACAATAACCCCATGTATGTCTGGAATGAGCCTATCTTGTTGCCTCTGCAATACTCTAATATTCCATCACTCTCTAAGAACAGACATGGCACAAACATGGCAATTCATTGTTGAACTGGTGATTGATTTCCTAGAGGTCATGAAATACATGTATTCTACTCTGTTCTTCTAACCAGCTTTTTCAAGGCCTGTTTCATGTCCCTGTTCCTAAGGCTATAGATGAAAGGGTTCAGCATGGGGGTAACTACTGTGTAGATAATGGTGACCACTCGGTCCTTTGTCACTGAGTAGGTAGATGAGGGGCGAATGTACACAGATATTATGGTTCCATAGAAGAGTGCCACAACCGTGAGGTGGGACCCACAGGTAGAGAAGACCTTGTGTCTGCCTCTCCCTGAAGGGACCTTCAGAACAGTATGAGCGATATAGACATAAGAGACAATAATAAAGATAAAAGGGCTCATGATCACAAAAGAGCCCTCTGTGAAGGCCAAAAGCTCATTGATAGATGTATCAGAGCAGGACAGTGTCAGTAGTGGCTGGACATCACAAAAGAAGTGGTGAATGATATTAAGCCCACAGAAGGAGAGGTGGCCCATGAGAACTGTGTGGGTGAGTGAGTGGAGATGGGACACCACCCAGGATGCTATCACAAGCAGGTGACAGCGCCTGGGGCTCATGGTTGTGGTGTAATGCAGTGGGTTGCAGATGGCAACATAGCGGTCAACAGCCATGGCAGCCAGGAGGAAACTGTCTGTGATACCAAAGGCTACAAAGAAGTACATTTGAGTGAGACACTGGGCAAAGAGGATTGTCTTTTTCTGTGTCAGCAAGTTCAGTAACATCTGTGGCACAATGACAGTGGTAAAGCAGATGTCTACCAGGGACAGATTAGAAAGGAAGAAGTACATGGGGGTATGCAGGTGGGCATCTCCCCGGATAGCTGCAATGATGACTGAGTTGCCAACTACATTGACCAGGTACATGGCAAGGAAGCTGGCAAAAAGCCATACCCACTGTTTGGGGTCACGTGTCAGTCCCAGAAGGAGGAATTCAGTAATGTGGCTCTGGTTTCCCCTCAGCATTGCTGTCCTACAAGCAAAAATTATAAAAGGAATGTTAGACGTGTGTTTTAGGTTGGAGTCTTCAGTCTAACTGCAGGGATATCTCATGACGTATTCTAGCTTATGCACTGCATAAGGGGGCCAATCATGTTAATTGCTACGTAATTTTTATTTTTTATGTGTATGAGTGTATTGCCTGCTTGTATGTAAGTGCGCCTGTGTCGTGCAATATTCAAGGAGGTCAGAAAAGGGCGTTGGATCCTCTGGAACTGGAATTTCAGATAGTTATTGTCTGCCATATGGGTGCTGGGAACCAAACTTGGGCCCTCTGCAGGAGCAGTCAGTGCTCTTAACCGCTGAGTCATCTTTCCATCCCCAGCTGCGGTTATTTCTATGATATGACTTCATAGGCTTGGTATTGAAGTACTTTGCTGTTGTCCTTTAAATTGATGCTGAAATACTTCCAATTTTGCAGCTATTTTTATAGAATTGAATAAGCACACCAGGTCTTGTTCCTTGTCCAAAAGACAAAATCTATGATAACCACATTCTTAGGCTATTTTGAGGAGAAATTCTAAAAACTATAGGGTGTTCAGAAATAGGCATTTTGTTCAATTTCAAAATGTGTATCTACAACACTTTTTTTTGCTCTTTTTTGTTTCATTTCTTCCTTCTCTGAGCAACATCAGTTTCCACCTAAAGCTTCTGGCCAGGATTTTTCTCTTCTCTTCCTCTGTAAGGAAAAGTGGGGTCTCCTAAGCTTTCTCTATAGAAATCACATAAGCATTGTAGTCATTGTATCCCTGGATCAAACCCATCTTGAAAAAAAATTTATAAATTGTTTGGAAGTTTAAACTATGGGCCAAAAGTTCAGGCTAGGAGTGACTTGACCTGGAAGTTAAAAACATTTTTTTGGATTTATTTTTATTTTATGTGTGTGTATGCAAGTGCACCCACGCATGTGATGCCCATGGAGGACCTGAGGGTGTCAGATCCCCTGGAACTGGGGTTACTGATGGTTGCTATCCTTCATGTGGGTGATGAGAACCAAACCTGGGTCCTCTACAAGAATAGCCAGTGCTCTTAACCACTGAGCCATCTCTCCAGCCCTGACTTGGAAGTTTGACTTGTCAATCGGCATGTGTAATGAGCTACCCAGGGTGGGTGGGAAGATGAAGAACCGTTTCTTGTAGGACTTCCTTTACTTAACACTGAGCTTGGTGTTCCCTACAGGTGGCTGGTTGTTCCAGGTCCCAAAGAAGACCATGTTAAGCTTAGGTACTAAGGAAAGGAAAGAGGAGAGAAAACACAGGGCTAAGTAAATGAGTGTGATATACATGAAGGTTTGTGTCAATGGTCAAGGGTTCGGATGTGGATATGGGGGGTGGGCCAGTAGCCTCAAGGATTAAAAATATAAATTAAAAGCTAGAAGTTTTTATTAGAGTGAGAACCTGACACAGAGATGATTAGGCATATAAGCCTTAGAAACATTCTTTTTTTAAAAAAATATTTTATTTATTATATTATGTGTATGAGTATAGTGCCTGCATGTAGGTAAGTGCACCCATGTCATGCAATGCCCACAGAGGACAGAAGAGGCTGTTGGATCCCCCGGAACTAGAGTTACAGACAGTTGTTAGCTGCCATGTGGGTGCTGGGAATAGAACCTGGGTCTTCTGCAAGAACAGTCAGTGTTCTTAGCTGCTGAGCCATCTCTCCAGCCTCCCTTAGAAACATTCTTACACAAAGATCCGCTTTGAAAGACTTTTAGAGAAAGCTCCAAGGTTAAAAAGAACCCAACAACTTAACAAGTGAATGATATAAATGATGGATAGAAAGTAGAGATGAGAAAATTCCTTAGTAAATTTACTTTTGCCTAAAACATCCCACAAAAAAATCTACATACTTGAGAAAGAAAAGTAAAAGCTGGGTGTGATAGGGCCTGTCTCCAATCCCAGCTACCCAGGAGCTAGAGGAAAGAGGATCTAAAGTTCAATGCCAGCCTAGGCAACTTAATGAGACTCTGTATCAAAATAAAAGTTTAAAAGGGCTGACAATATAGCTTCATGGTAGAGCACTTGCCTAGCATGTATGAGGCCCTGGGTTCAATTAGTGAAAAAAGAAAATACATCACATACACCCCAAAACAAAAATACGTGGAAAAGAAAAATAGGCAACAATAGAGGAAAGTGAAGACAACATATCTTGACCCAAGGAGACAAAAACCCAGTGTAGAACTGGGGAAGCAGTTTAACAAAACCAGGATCATGTTGTAATATGCTAAACAGTGGTCTCCAAAACATAAGAAACCTGATACTGTAATCTCTTGAATCAGTTGATAAGCTGTTAGAACCATTTAGTTTAGCAAGTTTGTTGGATATATCATGATCATCCTAGAAAATAAATTTAATAGCATTTATCCAAATTAGGAAATGATCAGTGGAGATACTAACAAATAAGATACGATTCATTATTATAGTAGAAATGCCAAAGCTTGAGGAATTACTTTATCCAGGAATACACTGATCTACTATGTGGAAACACGTTACAGCCTTGCATGGAGCATATAAGAGGCTGGAATACATAGGAAGAGATTGCATCTTCTTGCTGGAATTAGTGACATTACAAAAATGTCATTTCCCATATCATCCTATCCATTTAATTCAATGTCAATCAAAGTACCTATGGGATTTTTTCAGTTTTTGATAAATATCTTCTCACATCTCTATAGGACAGTAATGATTTTGAAGTAACCATGTTAAACTTGACAATGCCAGGTGGTGAGTTCTAGGGATTTGGGATAGAATAACAGGTTTTATGAAGTGGAAAAGGGGAACAATGGAACAGGGAGAGTTAAATGGTGTGAATGATGGGAAGGTAGGGTAAAGGAAGGAGTATGGGGAAGAGTAATAAACACTAAAGATTTTTGAAAATGCCTTATGGAAACTTACTACTGTAGAAGCTCCCTAAATCATATACATACAGATATATAAAAGGAGTTTAAATGGAGTCACCCCTAAATGAGGAGGGGGGCAATGCCTCTACCAGACATGATAGCCTATTAAATATAAAACACAGTACCAGGTATGGGCTATTACTTTTTGAATTGTTGGGCTGCAGGGTCATATAGACTTATTGCAAACATTACAGGCTATTACTGTTGTTCTTGGTTACCCCCCAGAACTTGAGGGTAAGACTCTATGGCTGAAGACATCATATACTTAAGTCATAGAACATGGAGAAATCAAGCTGATACTGACCTTGAAACTTCATCCCTACTGGCTAGCTTTCCTAGTGCTGGAAGGTGTGATGCATGCTACTGGGGGAGAAAAATAACCAATAATGTTACCCAGTTGTGAACCCTGCCAGCTACAATAATGGTTGGCCTGGAAAGATATATCCATTGATGCAATAGTGGCATGACTGTTATGGGACTAACCAAGCACTTTCTGATTGGATTTAAAGACACTCCTGTGATGGAACTCATGCCCTAGTACTGTTAACTTGGTTAAAAAAGAAAAAAAAAACCCAAAACCAAAATGGTGTCTGACTAGGTCATAGGCCCTAGGGGAGAACCCAATACTATTATTCTGCTAAATGGACATAGTGTTAAACTGCCCTCTAAATTCATATCTTTATACCTATAAATTAGTGCATCTTTCAATCCTTATTGGAGAAGCTTCTTTATACAGTAGATGGTGGTAATACAGAGACTCACAGCTGGTCAACATGTAGAGAATAAGAGGCTGCAGAGTGCTAAGTTTTGAATGGGACAGCTGTATTATATTCTTATCCACAAAGTTAAGGTATCATTAGAGGGGGGTGTAAAGATTGTAAAAGCTAGAGGCAGTGGATGCCTGCAGCAAAATCATATTTGCTGGACATGACATCGCCATCACATGCATAAACTCACAGCAACTGTGACTGCTTGCACAAGGCCTGTGCAAGATCAAGCCAGCCAAATTCCTAGCATGGATGGAAGAGGGGAAGATGAAGTTCCACCCCAAGCTGAGGAGCTATTGGCTCCTGATGGCTGCTTGGGGAGGGAGAGTCAGTTTTCTTCAGAGATTCAGGCCCTGTGAGGCTACCCTTGCTCCACGGTCCTACTCCCATGTGCATACAGACAGAAAAGTGGTGATAGAGATAGGGGAGGACTCAGAGGGTGGGGGAAAGGAGGGTGGGTTTGATAAAACACATTATACAAATGTCTGAAATTCTCAAACAATAAAAAAGCTGAATAAAAAAGATAAAAAAAACCGTTTTGTCTGTTTGGAAATTAAAAATAATCAGAGTCCGTAATGACATGAAATATTGTGGCTTTGGTGTAAGAACAGAAAACAGACCAATGGAAAATGCTAGATAAAATGTAGATCATGCCTGGAGTGGTGGGGCATGCCTTTAATCCCAGCACTAGGGAGACAGAGGCAGGCAGATCTTTGTGAGGTTGAGGCCAGCCTGGTCTACATAGCAAGTTCCAGGCCAGCTGAAGCTACAAGGAGACCCTGTCTCAAAAAGCCAGAAAGAAAAAAAGTAGATCTTAAAGAGATTGACATTTATATAAAAATGCAATACAGTAAAATGGTGGCCCTAGAAAGCCAATGAGGGAAAGGATAGAATGTTTTGTTGTGTTGAAAAAGCTGATTCATCATATCAAAGGGAATTGATAATTTCATACACAGAGTTGGCATTCAAGTGAATTATGATTTATATGTGACATGTGAATCCATAAAGCAGATAGAAAGTGAGGTATAGGTATCTCTACCAGTTAAAAAGGGGAAGAACATAGACAGTACTTACAGTGGTTAAAAAGACCCACAGAAACCTAAAAGGCAAAAAAGTTGGTTATATCATAAAGAGAAATAAAATAGGCACAGGAAAGACTAGGAAAGACAAGGACTTGCAATGTTTAACAATACTCCTCCTAGACATGTTTTCCAGAGAGATACAGTCTTGAAAAAGCTCACAGATTGGGATATTTTTGTATTGTCATTTGTTTGTGGCAATCTGGGCATCTATCACTG